AAAATTAACTTACTAGTTATTTATATTCAGATTTTGGACAAATTGTTTTTGTTTAAATAGTCCGAGATAACCAAAATATCCAAACAATATTAAAAAAATTCACAATGCATGTCCTTGGTAACTTATCGTGCACTTGACAACTATTTGTTTTACAATAAAAATAATTTTTGGGTACAATTAAACAGTTTCTTCTGTGTGGACCAGAAGTGAAAAAGATGAAACATGAAAATATATATATGATGTGGGTTAATAATGTTATCCATAATGCTGTCTACAAAAAACAGCATTTAATTCACGAACAAGCATGTGTTCCTCTCTCTATCTCCCTCTCTGTTTTTTTTTTTTCGGTTTGTCCGGATCGTAGAGGATGTTATGGTTTTTAAATAATTATTAAAAAAGTTAAAGTTTGTTTTACTTCCTAAACATTAAAGTTAAACTTTGTTTCATTTGATTTAATTTCCTCACCTTTACCAACGGTGGTTCAGAGAATGAGAGAGAAACATGCTTACTAAAATGCCACGCCCAAGTCATGCATTTCATATTTTTCATCAGCGGTAAATTAACAAACGGACAGCATTGAATTTGAAGTCGATTTGATTAATGATAGAGTAGATTGCAACAATTAATTTGTGAAGAACTAAACTGATAAAAAAATAGACCTTTTGTCATAAAATAAAAAAATATATAAAAAGTGAAGCCCCTTCTATTTTTTTTTTTTTTTGGGTACAAGCAAGCCCCTTCTATTTTTTGGTTTGAATATTCATTCTTTGTTAAAATACTTTAAATAAGTAAACTTCAATTTGATTTACTCGTGTGTAAAAGAATTATAATATAAGTGAATTATTTAATGTCACATATTTAAAAACTATTGATTTTTTTTAATGATACTAATTGTGCGAAACTAATTACTGGTAGCACAAACAATAAATCATATAATGGGAGTGATGGAAGTGGGATTATTAAGGTGGATGTATACTTATACAATGAAAAATAAAATAAGAAAAGAAAATTTGACCCAATGGTGCAGCTCAGTTGGTAACTTGACGCTGAGTTAGTGGGGGTGGACATGTGTTCGATTCCTGCTGAATGTATTCTTGGGGAGGGGGCTGAACCTTTAGCCATCACTGATCTCCTGCACTCCGGATTAGTCTCATAGCCGGCTCAAAGAGTCGAAGCTCGTGGGGATACCGAAGGGAGCCAACTCGCCTCAAAGAGGTAATTAGGGTTGAATAACTCCAAAAAAAGAAAAGAAAATTTGACAAGGAATATTGATTGATATGGTTTTGATATATTCTTAAAAAAAAGTCCTAAATGCTCCATAAAAATAAAATATTGCTACCAAAAGTATGACACAAAGAGAAATAGAGGTCAGTAGAAACTTACTTAGCAAATAATAGTAAAACAAGAATTAATAGAGAAGAAAATAAATTAACATATCGCTTGTCTTAGGATGAAGTGAAGGAAATCTATCAATATTGTGTAGGGGGTAAATCTATTATTTCCTATGTTCCAAATGCTAAATTTTTAGTTATTTTTTCATATGTTGGTTTATTTTTGTATTTATTTATTCATTCTTCTTTATTTATTTTATTATGTTTTTTCTTTTTATTTAGGCTCTCATAACTATTAATCCTCATTAATTTAAAATAAAGGTCATATTGATGTTGTGTAATTAGATGTATGAATGGAAAAAATAAATTAGACAAACAATAAATGAAATTTAAATTCAAAGAGATCCCAATCCCAACTTTATAAATCATCTAACTTGGAGAGCTAAACTGGGCCTAAAACTAAAGTCGGCCCAAAGATGTAGAACTGAACAATCAATATTATTTGCAGGTGGCTCCTAGTTCTCACAAATATTGAAAATATCTTACCCTCCTCGGTGCTCATAGTGGCTGATTATGATACGAAGTATATGTTAGCATCATAGCATGTTTAATAATGGGTGAAATGCAATAATAATAATGAAATAGGATAACATTGACAATTCATTACTTAGATATTTTATTACAATTTTTTTTTCTTTATCATTGAATAAATGAGATGAGAAGAATTGTAAGGAGATTAGTAAATAATAAATTTTTTCATCTTACATTTCTAAATTAGGAGAAAAAATATATAGATATTAAATGAAATGAGATACATTGAACCTTATTTTTTTATTTTATTCTATTTTAAATAATAGCAACTAATATCATTTTATTTTATTACATTGATTTTCGTCGATTCAAAAATAGGAAATAGAATGATCAACCACTCAACAGTTGAGATTGAACATGAAAGATGATTGTCATTGGGATTGAAATAACCCTAATCCTAATAGCAACAAACATTTAATGCATGAGTTTTCCTGGAGAGAGACCAAACTTGCAGTATTACCTTACAGGCTTTGACCTTTTTGACACGGGACAAGACAATCCCTGACAAGCGACGAATAAAATAAAATAAAAAATTCTCACTGTACATGTTTTTTTTTTACTCCCATAAATCACTTGTATTTTTATGGGAGTCAATTTTATTGAAGTTAGTAAATTTACATTACAGTGAGATTAACTTTCTTTGGTTACATTTTCTAGACTTAAAGGGATGTTTGGTTGATGAATTTTTTTTTGAATATTAGGGAAATGTAATTGATAGGAAAATGATTGGAAAGTGAGTTTGGTAGAAAAATGTAAAAAAAATTGTTTGGTTAGAAAAAATTAAACTGGACAAATTAAGTAAGATTTATAAAGTATATGTTTGGTTTGAGGTAAAATATAGATGAAGAAATAACTTCAAATTACAAATATAACCCCATAAAAAAGTGAAACCTTGGCACTTTAGATGAGGGTATTTAAGTCTACTAGTGAGTTGCTCTTTTGCCATTTAGCTAGCTAAATGTAAAATACTACCTTCAAGTTGTCTTTCTAAATAGTAACTTTGCCTTACTTTCTATGAATAAATAAGGAATGCTATGCAAATACAATACTTAGAGAAATTTTGTAAAATCTTCTATCAAACATTGCTTTCTTACCTTGTCAATTTGATTTACGTAAGTAAATTTTAAGAAATTTTCAACCAAACGCCACCTTAGAAACCATGACAAAAAGATGTAGGAAAATTATTTTAGACCCATTATAAACTCTCTCTCGACGTGGGTGCGCCACTAATTTTTCTACTCTTAAGAGATGAGCAGGCACACACTCCGCATCTTCAATTCCTGAAGTGCTTAAGATTGGCAATGTTCCCAATAATGTTAACAATGTCAAATTGATCCCCCATTGGAACTTGAAATTATTACCAGTTAAGCTATATTAAATTTGTCTTAACTTGGATTGCAGACCCCGGTGGGGTACACTCATTATAAACAGATAACGTGTTGTGTTGTGTCTTATATATTTATTTATTTTGTTACTGTTCAGGTTGACAATTATTGTCTTTATAGTGCATCATTTTGGATGAATTGGCCATTTTACACTTCGGGTATTGGAGTTAATTTCATATTTAACAATTCCTTGCTGCACGAATAGGTACGTTCTTCTAAGTTCTAACAAACATCAATTGCTTTTGATTGGAGTGACTGTTCAATTCAGTGAAAGTCATCTATTCCACCCTCTTGGGTCTGTTGATGAGATGAGAAAATAATAGACAATATATATTAGATACGAATTTGGATATCTCACATGAAAAAGTGATAATGTGTAATCATTCATTGACGATGAGATAAGAAAAAAAAAAAGATGTGATTTTTAAGTGAATAGTTGTGATCAAATAACATGATCAGATAATTATTTTTTCACATGAGAGGATCCAAATCCTAAATGTGCCGCTGGGTATCTGTGTGTCTGATCTGAACAATTTGGTTCCTATTGTACTTAGGCAGAACATACCTGTCCTGAAATTAGCTTCTTCTCACAGCCAAGCATGCTTTGGAAGTTGATGCCTTGGGTCTTTTCGTTTAAGAAAACTATTCTTCTTATCGAACCTTCTCACTTTTTCCTTTGTGGGCACTCCACCAGGCCTAAAGAAATGTTATGTTTGTGAATCTCATTCTTCTAGGGCGACCCCGCCATCCACTCATAATGCACATAAGAATGTAAGAGAAACGTAGATTTAGTTCTAGTGTTGCACACACACGTGTGACTGTCTGTCTCTGCATACACTTTTGCATACAAGGTAGCAAGCATGTGCCAATGATTTTGTGCTTTGTGCTTCTTAATTACAATTTGCATTTAGATCATTATAAAGGTTTCATCATATTGTTATTTTCTTGTTCTTGATTTTCACACGTTTCCTGTAGCCTCACTCGGTTACTATATGAATATATGATCTTCTTGTATTGTAATGAGTTTGATGGGATTTTCCTCTTCTTTTTATCCTAGCATACTACTACTTGAGCTTCAATTTGGGATAGTATCGTCCTAGCATTGAGAGCTTTTCAATTTCTGCTCAGGACAATGTTTTCATCTAATTTCACACTTAAAATTCCTTTGAATAAAGTAAAGTGGCATTCAACTTGTGAGTGGAGGTTCATGGCTCACACTACCTACGGTTAAACATGGTTGATGCCTCTCCCCCTCCCCCTAAAGCCTCATTTTAACAAAAAGGAAAAAGGAAAAGCTTCAATGCTGCTATTTTTTTCTTTTTCACTGGCTAAAATGGAGACAAGATGCTCTCATCAATCAATCATTCCATTCAACTTTTTTTTTTTTTTTTTCTCCATTGGATGGCTTTGGTAAGGGACCCCTCCACATACAAATAATGCCTTAATATTGTATTCAGAATCAGGAACCCATTTTGATTTATTTATTTATTTATTAAAAAAGGAGCTCCTTTCGAATCACAACCTTCTGGTCCTTACTAACATATGCTCCTTTTATTGGAGCCATCTTACATCGCTCAAAATAAAAAGCTAGGATAGAAAAGGAAAAACCCAAATTCCACAAAGCAAGTTGGCGAATGATCTCAAGTGTGGGCCTATGAAATTTATAGATACTGTGCATTACTGTAAAGCTTGGATAGCAATTAGAAATTCAAATTTTTACAAAAGTCAAAACTCGAAATAGTATATATAAGAAAAGGAAAGCAGCAATAGAGAGAAGAGAAGAGAAGAACCAGAGTCAAAGATAGAATCTACAAACTACCTGTCTATGGAAAAAAAAAGAGATTAATTTGTTCTCTAATCTTACAATGAGTCTCTCAGTTACATTGGGAGAGACTGCTTATCTTGGTTGTATTTATATATTCCTCTTACCCTTTTAATCTACTCAATTATAATAAGGTGACATTTGATGCATCTTTGGTTAACAACTCGCAAGAATCTGAACCACGTGGCTCTGCCTCAATCAGCAACTGAACAACCTCTTTCATTGTTGGTCTACTAGATGGAGCTTTGTACGTGCAACGAATGGCAATTCGCAACACTTTAATCATGTCATCCTTGAATATGGGTGAGGATCGAGGGTAAAATAGATCACTTGGTCTAGCACCTTCCTTGCCTTCTACTTTGTTTGAAACCCAAAAGACAATATTTCTGTTCTCTCCAAATTCTGACTCAACGGGCTTCTTCCCAGTTAACAGTTCCAACAAAATCACCCCAAAACTGTAGACATCACCCTTGGTGGTGGCCCTGGGGGAATATGCATATTCTGTGACAGCCATGAAAACAAGTTGAATTAGATACTCAACAAACTCACAGGACTAAAAGTTAAAACACTAAGAGATGATAGAGGAGTTACCATATATGACTATTTGACTAAATCCCAAGTGCTACTTTTATTTAATATATATACTATGTGGTAAAAAGGTCTTATTGCTTTAGATAGCTAATGTATGCTTAAGCAACATTTTTATCAATCAATTTATGTAAATTTACCAATAGTTTAAAAAACTTGACTTTGGTCAGAGAATTTACCTGGGGCTAAGTAACCATAAGTTCCAGCAATAACAGTTGTTGTGGAATCCTTCCCGCCTCTAGCTTGCAAAACTTTGGCGATACCAAAGTCTGCAACCTTGGGATGGTAATCAACATCCAAAAGGATATTAGTTGATTTGATGTCTCGATGGATAATAGGAAGAACCAAATCATGGTGGAGGTATGCCAAACCCTGTGCAATCCCAAGTGCAATCTTATAGCGAGTAGGCCAATCCAAATGGACCCAACCTTTGTGCAAGGAGTCCCATAGAGTACCATTTGGCATGTACTCATAAACCAACAAGCTACATTCCAAACTGGAGAAACAGCAGTACAGTTTCACTATGTTTTTGTGTCTAATACTTCCCAGGGTCTCCACTTCTGCTTTCAATGCTTTGTCTACAAACATTCGATCCTCTGGAGCTGAATCCTTGGATTTTCTACTCCACAGCCTCTTGACTGCAACAGTATCACCGCTTTTCAAATCAATCTTGTACACTGTCCCAGACCCTCCATGTCCTATTATGTTCTTCTCAACCAAGGATTCTATGATCTCCCTTTGGTCGAAACTGATCCTGTGAAAGCTCTTAACATCATAAGAGAAGAATGAAGAAGGTTGTGTATCCTCATGTTTCACTGCAGCTGTCTCTTTGCTGCACCTACGTTTCAGAAACAAGACAGCTCCAATAAAGATTAAAACCACAGATACCCCAGCTACCCAGATGGTGTTTATTCTCTTACTCTTGTGGGCAATTGAACATGTGGGGAAGCTTGGATCCGATGAATTAGCATATGTTGGTTGCACACACAGACCAGGATTCCCTGAAAAGCTTTCAACCAAACCTCCTTTGATCAGTTTGGGAGGAATTGGACCCGAAAGCAAGTTATGTGAGAAGTTAATGGAGTTTGGTAGCAGTACTGAGAGGCTTTCAGGGATGCTTCCTGTTAAAAGGTTGTTGGAAAGATCAAGAAGGTTGAGTGACTCCAATGAGGAGAGTGAAGTTGGGATGGAAGAATTCAGCTTGTTCTCTTGTAACATTAGCAAATTAAGCCTTCTCAGATTGCCAATTTCCGAAGGGATTGGACCAGACAGAAAGTTATAGCTGAAATCAATCTTGACAAGGTTAATGGCTCGAGAGATTGTAGGAGGTATGACTCCTGAGATCATGTTCTTTTGTAGGAACAGTTCAGACAAGTTTCTAGCATTTCCACTGATCTCAGGAATTGGACCAGTCAAATTATTGTTACTCAGATCAATGATTGAAACATGTGGTAGACCAAGGAGTCCCTCGGGAACCGAGCCCTCCAGGTGGTTATTACTGACTCGAAACCTTAACAGCATCATGCAGTTTGCATAACTGTCTGGTATCTTTCCAGAAAACATGTTATCCAAAACAAGAAAATAGAGTAGTTTACCTCCCTTGCAAACTTGTGTTGGCAATGGACCAGAGAAACTGTTTTCTGACAAGTCCAGAACTACCATTCCTGAGAATTGTCCCAGTTTACTAGGGACTTGTCCTTTCAGGAAATTGTCATAAAGAGATAACATTCTCAATGTTGTTGAGTTTTCAATCTCACCTGGGAGTTCTCCTGAGAGGCTATTGTTGTAAAGCTGCAGGACTTGAAGCTTGGGAAGGCTACATATTGATGCAGGGATGCTCCCAGTCAACTTGTTCACTGACATATCCAAATCTATGAGCTCTGTGAGATTTCCCAGCTCCTCAGGTATATAACCAACAAGGTGTTGGTTATAGTAAAGCTCAAGCTGTTGCAAGTTTTTCAGCAATCCAAGCTCTGCAGGAATTTGGCCTGTGAGGAAATTCCCACTCAATTCAAGATCAGTAAGAGAAGTGATGTTCCCTATGGATGTTGGGATTTGGCCATACACCATGCAAGTTGTCAACACCATGGACTTGAGATTTTTCAGCCTGTCAATATCATCTGGCAGCTGCCACAGGCTGAAACCTCCATTTTCATTGAAGTTTAGCACCTCGAGTCTAGTGAGATTGAATACTGACATGGGGAATTCACCTGTGAAGGCGTTGTATGACAAATCAAGGACCCTAAGAGATTTCAAAGGAGAGAAATCTGGAAGTGTGCCAGTCAGATACATATGATTCATGTTAAGCACTTCCAAATGAGAACAGTTGATTACGCTGTTTGTAGGAAACTTGAACCTTGTGTGTCCAAGGCTGAGAACTCTCAACTCTGGCATGTAAGTGCATAAATCTGAAGGGAACTTTCCAGAAAGTGACCAACCTGAAAGGTCAAGATTGATAACTTCCCCTTGGTTGTTGCATGTAACTCCTGTGAAGGCACATACTGGTTTCCCAGCTTTGACATCCCAATCCAGAGGGTAGTTCCCTGAGAGAGACTCCTTCATCAGAGAAAAAAACTGAGACTGGTTGGTACTGCTAATAACCTGTGAGATACTAGCCATGGAAATAATGAGTCCAATAACAAAGAGAATGAATGGATGATCCATCTTGAGAGAGAAAAAAAAAGAAGAAGAAGAGAAGGTTATGTTTGTGGTTAGTGTAAACGTTGCAAGGAAGGAGATAAATAAGGATGTATAGAAGACAGAATGGTTGAGTGGATCACTTGTGGCAGCAGTGACAAGCCTTAATTGATGTTAAAAAGGCAGGTTCTTGTTGTAGTACTATTGCTGAGACTGAGAGAGAGGTGAACATCTTTGGTAAAGAGGCTTTACGTTTATACTCCACTATCACCAACTCATGTGAGGAATAACACCAATGCAAGTGTACTTTATACTCATATATCCTGTACAGCATGTAGAGTATGCTGCATCTGATCCTGATCAACGCATATTTCACTGACCAGGACCTCTTGATGTGATTAATTACGCTTTCTTTTGGAAGAAGAAAATAAATAATATTTTTCTTCTACCAGGTGGTGTGATCCATCTCTTTCTCATGGATTCCCACCCTAGCCAAATTCAAACATTTATGTGACTTCAATTATAAAATATATGAAAGAACAAATGCACTTTCAGTGCTCAGGAACCAACATATTAATATTATTACTCTTTTTAAAACAGCTTTTGAACAAATTTTAACATCATTAAAATATATTGACAGAACGAGATGTTTGTTTGTATTTATTCTTATTAGAGTCTCTTTTAATTATATATTACTTCAAACTTCTTTAAGGATGTACTTGACCTGTAAAAATAGGTTAATACACATGATATTGTATCTAATAACTTTGATGAAACTCTTCCTTAATCAAACGTAGTTTAAACATATATCTTAGGGAAAACTAATCGAAAAAGAAAGAAATAATCATGTTACAAATACAGCTACTGTTTACGAAATAGAAAATAAGAAGGTGAAAAATAAAATCATTGTGATGATTTTTTCTTCTTCAAAAAGCTCAATCTTTCATTTGTATTTTAAACATGCATAAAAAGCTTCCTTGTTAACCAACTAATAGAAACGAATAATCATCAAATTTATTCAGTAAATAATAATTATATAGAAATTGTTCAAATGTTATGAATATCTTTAATGTAGAGGATAAGTTTTAGAGTTTAATGTCTCTAATATTGTAGGAGATAAAATCATTTACTACACACACATAAAAGTAGTGTGTGAGACTTATGTTTTTTTTTTCTTTCTCTTCTTTTCACATAAGGCTCACACATTTTTATGTTTGTGGGAGATAATTTTATGAAACATATATCAAACCTATAACCTAGCGAGATTGAAAGTGTATCATTCAACGTTGTGCTACGAGAATCTACTTGGGTCATTTCTGAATAAACTTGCTTGCTTATTTTACGATATTGGAAATTTTATGAAATCCCGATTATTTCATCATTATATGTGAATACAAGAAATAGGGTGGGGGTTGTTGATCTTTTATGAGAAAAACAAACATCAGAAACAATATTGTGCAACAACTTATTTTATTCTGGCTAATGAACTTGTTTTTAAATACAAAACTGAGCTCATGCGGTTGCTACTAACCAGCTGATTTTGTTGGTCCACAAAATCAGCAACAAACTAACAAAGCAATAACAGTAAAATGCAGTAAACAAACTCCTAAACAAAAGACTAATCAATTTAAAAAACAACTAATTAACTCCTAAAAAATAGGACATCAACAGCAGCCTTGAAACACCAACATTCTCCTCCTGGATCAAGTGCTGCACACTCCTAGCTTCTCCCTGAGAAATTCAAATCGACTAACATGAAATGACTTGGTGAATATATCTGCAATTTGGTTTTCTGAACTGCAGTACATTAGCTTCACTTCTCCAGCCTTCTGCACTTCTCTCAAAAAATAATACTTGATCTTAAAATGCTTTGTTCTTCCATGAAATACTAGATTCTGTGAAATAGCTAGAGCAGCTTGATTATCCACAAATACTTCTATGCCTTCTTTTTGCTCCAAATGCAGGTCATCCATCAGCTTCTTCAACCATAATGCTTGGTTTACAGCTGCAGTAGCTGCAATGAACTCAGCTTCTGCAGTTAATTGGGCCATTATTTCCTGCTTCTTTGAACACCAAGAAAAACAAGCTGACCCAAATGTAAAACAATAACCCGAAGTACTTTTCATATCATCCACTGATCCAGCCCAGTCACTGTCAGAATACCATTGCAACTTAAACTTCTGAATTCTGCAGAATTTGATTCCATATGAAAGAGTACCTTTCAAGTACCTTAACACCCTTTTTGCAGCTACCATATGCAGTTCACTTGGACAATTAAGAAACCTAGACAAGACACTTACGGTAAACATAGTGTCTGGCCTAGTTGCAGTGAGATACATAAGGCAGCCAATTAAACTCCTATAAACTCTTTCATCTGCAGATTCCGATTCATCTTTCTTTTGAAACTTTTCCTTTTGACCCATTGGAGTACTTACACTCTTGCACTCCTCCATGTTGAATATTTTCAGAATCTCCTTCAAGTACTTCTTTTGATAGATAAAAATTTCATTTTCAGTTTGTCTAACCTCCATCCCCAAAAAATATGACATCTCACCAAGATCAGTCATTTCAAACGTTTTCATCATTTTCCTTTTGAATGTAGTAATATGAGAATTATTACTCCCTGTTACCAGCATATCATCCACGTAAAGAGACACCACCACTAAGTCAGATGCTAACTTCTTGACATATAAAGTGGATTCACTAAGACTTTTTATGAAACCCAAACCCAGCAAGTGCTCATCCATCTTGTTGTACTATGCTCTAGGAGCTTGCTTCAAACCATAGAGAGCTTTTCTCAGCAAATAAACCTTCTCCTCCTGATCTGGTGTGACAAAGCCTTCTGGCTGCTCAACATAAATCTCCTCTTGCAACTCTCCATTCAAAAAAGCAGATTTCACATCTAACTGATACACTTTCCATCCTTGTTGAGCTGCCAAGGCAAGAATCATTCTAATTGTATCTAGTCTTGCAACCAGAGCAAAGGTTTCTGAGAAATCAACTCCCCAAACCTGTGCATATCCCTTCACCACTAACCTGGCTTTATGCTTATTCACTGAGCCATCAGGATTGAGTTTGGTCCTGAAAACCCATTTTACTCCAATCACTATCCTGTCCTCGGGTCTTTCTATTAGCTCCCATGTCTGATTTTTTTCTATCATAGCCAACTCTTCCTTCATAGCATTCATCCACCTCTGATCACTTTTAGCTTCCTCATAACTTGAAGGTTCCAAAACAGCCACACTACACCTCTGATATATATCAGTCAGAGATCTGGTACCTCTAATTGGATCATCATCTACTAGCTCATCATAATCCAGTGAGACCTCCTTATGCTTTGCTTGTGGCTCATCTGTCCAGTCCCACTGCTCATCTTCTAGGAACTGAACATCCCTGCTATTGATCACCTTCTTTGTCTGTGGTTGATAGATCTTGTAGGCTTTTGATACCAGACTATAGCCAATGAAAATTCCAGGTTCAACTTTTTCTCCCAGCTTGTCTCTCTTGACCTGTGGAATGTGAGAAAAACACAGACAACCAAACACTTTCAAATTTTTTAGAAATGGCTTGAAACCAAACCAAGCTTCGAAAGGTGTCTTCTTTTCCAGTACCCTTGTAGACAGTCTATTTAACAAAAAAACAGCTGTGTTTGCTGCTTCTGCCCAAAATTCTTTTGGTAGATTCTTCTCATGCAGCAGACACCTAGTCATTTCCATAATGGTTCTATTCTTTTTTTCACTAACTCCATTTTGCTGTGGAGAATAAGGAACAGTAAGTTGATGCTCAATTCCAGCTTCCTCACAGAAAGTGTTAAACCTTTGTGAAGTGTATTCTGTTCCATTATCAGATCTGATGACTTGAATTTTGCAGCCACTTTGAGTCTCAACCTATCTCTTAAACTTCAGAAATATCTCAGCAACTTCTGACTTTTGCTTCATAAAATAAATCCAGCACATTCTAGTATAATCATCAATGAAGATAAGAAAATACCTGCTGCCATTTAGTGAAGGAGTCACGTGAGGACCACAAAGATCTGTATGAATTAGTTGTAGCTTCTTTGTAGCTCTCCAGGTGGATTCTTTGAAAGGAAGTCTTGTCTGTTTGCCCAAAAAACAAGCTTTGCACCTTGTGATCTGCTCCTCCAGGATTGGTAACCCAGTTGACATTTCATTCTTCTGCATGAATAGTAAGCCTTTGTAATGAAAATGCCCCAACCTTTTGTGCCATATTTCTGAATCACTAGCCGGACACTTGAATGCCGCTTGCTCATTCTCAAGGGGATTTAGAGAAAAACTCTTCTGTTGCATCTTTATTCTGAACAGCTCCTGACCATTTGAGTCAAAGATCAAACACTTCCCTTCTTCAAATATCACTTTAAATCCCTTTTCTACCAACTGCCCCATACTCAGCAAATTCTGATCAATATCAGGCACGTACATCACACCAGAAACCAGCTTAGTTCCAGCATAGCTCTCTATTGCTACAGTCCCTTTACCTTTCACTTCTAGATACTCTCCATTTCCAATTCTCACTCTTGACTGCAATGACTTGTCAAGGTCTCTAAATAGCTTTTCATCACTTGTCATGTGATTTGTGCAACCACTATCAACAAGCCAACTATCACATGGAGCACTAGAGGAGAAACAAGAGGCAGCAAATAATTGATCTGCCTCATGCTGGTCTGCAACATGTGCCTCACCTTGCTGCTGATTTCCTTTTTCTTTGCAGAACCTTTCAATGTGTCCAAGCCTATGACACTTTCTGCACTTCACATCTGGCCTCTTCCAACATCTGAAGTGTGGGTGATTCTGCTTTCCACAATGCTTACATGAGGAATGCCCGCCCCAATTGTTCTTAGAGTTGATTGCATTGTTCTCTCCTACAACAGCTTCCGAACCACTACTGTCATCTCCTTTCTTCCATCTTACATTATGATGTTCTTTAGCCTGCAAAGCTCCTTCTGTACTTCCTTCAAGCCTCATTAACCTTCTCTGCTCTTGTGCTTGCAGAGCACTTAGCAATTCTGCCAACTTGATTTGAGACAAATCCTTGGTATTCTCCAAAGATGCAATAGTTGCTTCAAACCTTTTGGGCAAGGAGACAAGAACCTTTTGCACTAGCCTATTATCAGAGAGGTCAGTGCCTAGAGCTCTTGCTTGATTTGCAATATTTACCAACTTATCAGAATACTCCTTAATCGTTTCAGACTCCTTCATCTGCAATCTCTCAAATTGTGTGATTAGATTCAGCCCCTTCATG